AACACGAGCTTTCGAGGCTTCGGTCTGCGTCATTTGGTACCGCTAGGATGATTGATAAACCTGCCAGATACCAACAGGTTGATCTATACACCCGAAAGATCGAACGTTCGACACCTTTCTAGACACATAACTTTCAATATTTTTTTTTCCAGCGTCGAACATTCCGCAACCGATCCTCGTGTGCATCTTATACAGGCTTGAGGAAGGATAACACATGACGCAGCGTCAACGCCGATTATTTCGTATTCTTGAAACTCAATGATGAGAAATGTCTCGTGTACTTATTGAGACAATTGTCGTTTTACGTGGAAAAGCTGAAGCGAACCGCGTTGTCTCGACGTGCCGTGTGTTATCTCACCATTATCTCATCTTACAATAATATTTATTGGATCCGACGAACTATCCGACGTTAATTTCGCAATGACGGATACGTTCGCGGTCCAACAGCGCACAATCTCGCGCAACGTAAATATATTTATACTTATAAATTTTACGCCTCTTTTTTTCTTTCATTGTTAACAGGCCGTGGCTATACAGGGCCCTCTACTTCAATTCAGTCTGTGGCACGCGGTCTTCCGAGCAAATTATTGAGTACGATGTGCATACATGCATGCATACGTGTATATGTCTATGTGTGCGTGCGTGTGTGTGTGTGTGTGTGTGTGTGTGTGTGTGTGTGTGTGTATGAGATATAATACGCAATTAAGATGTTATATTTCATCCTCATCATTTTGACCGTCGCGAGATGTGTTCTGAACGTCGCTAACATCCTCGTTGCTTTAGATGATCCTCGTCCTGAAGTATTTTCGTTTCGGGCGCGAACAGTGAAGGTTTATCTCTACGTCGAAGTGCCTCCGGTCAGTCCTCGTCGAGCAAACATAGTCTGATTGCAAAATATCATTATTGATATTAATGTATCTTATAATCGGAGCTCGTAAAAAGTTTGCCTCGGTATTTTTTCAAGGATTTATCCGACTTGACGAATCACTCAGTTTTCGTACACATAATTTTGTATACGCTATCCTTCTTCACTTTTCTATACCGACATTGTCGCCTTCATGACCCGTATAAATACACCAGTACAAGACGTTGAAGAGAATGAACATGAATGGGAAGGCATAGCGCGCAATGTAGTCGATTCTCGCGCTGCCTCGGGCATCATCCGGATATCCACATAAAAGCAATTTTCTCAGCCAGTAACGCGTTTTCGACGATATCGTAGCCGACATGGGCAGCGATGTCGTGGACGAAATCGGTACCGCAATCGGCGAAGGTGTTGCGGCACGCAACGGCGTATCCAGAGGCGACGCTGAGGATGCTGGCGAAGGCCATCGCGACGGCGACGACCTCGCCGAGCTCCTATGTGAGTGATGTCGCGTTGTTTTCATCGGCGAACATCGGCCGGCGACGCAGTCTTCGTCGTTCAGCAGCGAGAAAGTCGGTGATGGCGAACGATTTGGATGATAACGCTGATGACGATGTAACTGATGATGATGGTGGTGCTGCTGCTGATGATGATGGTCCTGTTGATACGTACGTGGCAGCGAATGATGTTGCGTCATCGACGGATTACTGCCGTGAGTCTGCTGTTGCTGTATATAAAAATGACTGTGATGACGGGGAGGATCATGATGATGATGATTCTGAGGTGGATGATGATGATGATGATGATGACGATTATGAGGCTGATGATACAGTTGTCGTTGACGAGGACGTGAACGTTGTTGCGGCGGTCGTGTCTGTTGGAACTGTTGTTGCTGAGGATGGCCGCGAGCCACTTCCCTTGTTGATCCGAGCGCCTTCCCCTCGAGATTTATTCTTGCCCCTCGTCCTCCCGAAACAGGTACGTGGACCAATACGCGAGGTTGAAGAAAGCGAATACGATTGGGAAGAAGATCCGTGAAATGACGTCGATGCGCTTGGACCTCGTCGGGAACTTGGACAGCCACGACCTGCAGCAGTTTTTTTTCCGTGGTTGCATATGTATTTCGCACTGCTGCAATTTATCCATCGACATGGAATCCTCCGGGTGTCGGACCAGAGGCTTCTGAAAGAATTCGGGTGGTATTGAACCATTAATTTCTCGTACTCTTGGCTCCTTAATTCAAATTATTTCGATTCTAATCGAAAGAATCTCGACCCTCTTCTTTTTGCTGCATAAAAGAATCTCATTTTCATCTAGAAGAAGTGTCTAGAAAAATCCTGATCTCTTCCTTTGATGCATACAAACTCAGATTTTTCAATTGCAATTCTTTATAACAAATAAAAAATAATATAATGCTATCCTGAGCTGAGACAATATTTTTCGCAATAAATTTTTCACAGTTTATGATTCTCGTTAACGTCTAGATTATTAGTATTCTTATAAAGATGCTTATTAGCATTAAAAATTGATTAAATTGCTTGTCAATTTAATAAGTGATATTAGTACTCTGGTTCTGCTCATGACTGAAAAAAATTTTAGCGAGCAGAATCAGATACGTACATAAATTCACATAGAAATATTTGAGCACTAAGATCCGCTTTGACTGAAATAGGATTTTTCTTGTTTAATTATAGTTGCTATGATGTTGCCGCAACACGTTCACGTCCTCGTCAACCAAAACGAAAGTTTCCGGAAAAGTTCGAGGAGAAGAAAACAGCTATGTCGGAAGTATCTTGAGCGCGTGCATGGAGATGCTCGAGGAACGTCATGCCTTGTTGGTATACTAACCATAGCGAAGTTGGCGGATCCATCCGGCTCGAGCAATTCCGAAGACGGATCAATCGACGACGAATGTTCCATCTCGTTCTGTGGAAACTGCTTCTTTATGTTGTCGCTGTGCATGTCGCTACGCGACGCGTAGTTGACCAGCGCGAATTCAAGTAGTGCACCGAACACGAAGGTCAAGCACACTCCTGTCCAAACGTCGATAGCCTTCGTGTAGGAGACCGGTGGCAGTGAGGCGTTTATCCCCGATGTCTGTGTGGCCATTGTCAGCAGTGTCGTAACGCCTGGACGGGAGAAGACCGACAGACTTTTGTAGATTTTTGCAATTAATCTTGTAAGATGATTTAATAAGCGCGAGTAAAAAAATAAATAAAACAGACGAGTGTCTAAAATAAAAATGTATTTTCCTTTCTTTTTTTTTTACAAGATCATTAATCGTTACATTAACTAGTCTTTAAATAATTCATTTCAATGTGTACATTGCAGCTCTTCATATTTGACGTTAAAACTGAGTTAAAAATAAATTCAATCATTCACATTCAACCAATATCTGCAATTCTATTCATTCTTTTAATAGTAATATTGATTTTTCTTGTTTCTGGGTATAAATTTAAACACATTTAGAGTATTTATTTTAATCTCTGTCGCGTGGTGATCACGTTTCGCTCCTCGTTACGATTATTTATGGCTGCGTTCAGCAGAAAAATCTTTGCAATTGTATTGGAAGATTCTTTAATACGATTGGTTCATACATTTAGATCCAGTGAAGAACTAAGAGCGAGAACAATCAAATTAAAGAATTTTATAACAACTACAAAGCTATTTTCTTCCGCTTCTTCTGCAGCCTACGACATAGAAAGTTATCTTTGCAGTATTAATAAATTTGTTGTGCTGTTGCAACAAATACGATTATTTATAATCGCTAATTTTATTCAACTATACTTTGCTAATTTAACATAGAAAAAGCTATTCGTATATTACGATTGTAAATTCGCTGAATGAAAGTGAAGTTTTTAATTACTTTAACAAATCTTTTTTTTTTCCTTGTTACGTGAATTACAACTTTGAATTATAACATCGCTTTGCGCCTAGATAATAATTTATACCTAATGACACCCGAGCAGGCACGGCGCTCTGATCCAGCCAGAAAGACACCCAGGACACGATAACGAGCATACAGCATGGGATGTAGATTTGAATGAGATAGTAACTGAACTCTCTCTTGAAGAGCAGGTCCACTTTCAAGCAACTGTACTCTCCTGTTTTTTTTTTTTATTTCACCATTAGAATCGTTATATGAATTCATCATGTTTTTTCTTCTCAACGCAAGTCTTCACTTACCGGTGTTCGTCTTACTATTGCAGTAGTCCGTGAGGAATTTCTCGAGGGTGAACCGGGGTAGGTGTAAATTCTTAACCACTTGAACGGGGTCGCCTTCCTTCCAGAGAAAGACCAAATCGTCCGTCGTCCATCCGTCTATCGGGACGGACGAAGACGGTTATTATTCGACGAATGATTAACTTCGGTAATGTTTAACGAAAAAATATTTACCGCGGAGTGTTAATCTAGCTAAATGGGATGGAAAACGAAGTTTACCGAGTCATCGAAATTACTTACAACTCGCCATACGAAGTGAGCAAGTTTGTCGATCCAGGGGATACAGTTTCAAATTCATGGGACACGAGAGCGTCAAGGATATCCTGCGTCAGGGAAAGAAAAATAAGGATGGTTTATATTTAATGCCTGTGGAAGTAAGAATCCAATTCGCAATGGTTACACAAACGCGCTTATGTTTCGTCATCCGGCACGATACACAAGATCTCCGATGTGTACTTTAGCGATGGGAATTTTGCGACATTATCACGAGAATGAAATGCGAATGTAATGAATAATAAATTCCCGTCTAGGTATATATTGAACGATTTTTTAATTTGGATTTCATATAAGCACCCTCAAATTCGCAGAGGAGAGAAGAAAAAGAAGAAAAAAACGACATCAATAATTCTTTGTGAAAAATTGCGCAATTTCGCTGATTAAGCTGACTCTGCATTCGCCGTAGATTGATTACATCCATAACGCTGGTACTCACCGTATACTATAAAGAACCGAGCCATGCGGGAAAATTCGTATGTATACGTTCGGCATAATGATATTATGGAAGTGACCCTCCTTCTCGTTCGAGAAGAACAAATCTGGCATCCAGACGCGGCTAGCCTCCGTCAGGGTTAAATATTTAAGTTTACCTGCAACGTTCAACGAGAACAGTGGACATGAAACATCCGTGAAAAATAGGTGTACGTTAACGAATACGTTAGCGTTCATTCAGTAAGCAGAAAGCGCGAATATCAGCGGTAATTTGCCAAAGGATGATAAAAATAGCCGCTATTAAATTTGCGTAACGACCAGCGCGAGCGAATAAAATGTTACGATTCGTCCTTTGAGGCATGATATAATTGCAACATGAAAAAAAGTGTATAAACTCTTTGTGCGTCCGAACTTTTCCCGTTTGACCGCAAAATATCGCGTTTGTGTGATGTTACTGCATGAAGATACTTTGGCATTTATGGAAAATAAAAGAAGGATACACTTTGATCGGACTTTTTGATTTTTTTTCCATATTGCAATCTATGCAGTTACGGGAAATATATTCCACCTTTAAACTAATATTCTTGTGATATTCGTATGACACGGCATTGTACACGCATTGCATGACTGTTATATTACTGTTGCTCCTGTTTTATCGCATCGTGACTCTTATCAGCGTCGAAACATCAATACCGAAAGCATAGAAATTTCAAACTGAAAATCAGTTATAAAATACTATTATGAACTTTACATACCTCCAAAGTCATTAAACCGTAATCTCTCATCCAACCATTGTTCCCGAAATGTTAATTGTACGGAGTATTCCTGGAGAGAAGAAGAATAAATACGATTAAACAGCATCGCGCGTTATGGCAGCGAGTAATGTAAAGAGTTATTCCTTTCTCTTTTTAGTAAGCGACAGTCTTTCTAATTATAAAGTTTCGTAAGAAACGTAAAGAACGTGCGTAACGAAATAAACAGTAACAGAAGTCTAAATTCATCTCGAATCAAATAGTATTTATAATAGCAATGAAGTCTTTATGAAGAGAATGAAGAAAATAGCTTCGCGTAAACGATAACTCCGCATTTAATCAAGAGTTTTAATTATAATTACAATTGTATTTTTAATTCAATAATGATCAATTCTCGAGAACGAGTATCGGTATAATATTTCAATGCGACACGTAAAATCTAATAAAACATAAAAGAAAGTTGAATTAAAAAAAAATGTAATCTTTTTCTTTCCTCTTTATATATAGATATATATTATTCGATAAAAATCTCGCACCTATAAAAAGCAATTATTCAAACACCTCGTAACACAAAGAGAATTTCTTTTTATCTATAGGTAATATTATCGCCACTCTGGAACGTGTAACGTCAAACTGGTTGTCAATATTCTTATCATAAAAAAGAAGTGATCGTTAATACAGATATGAATTTCAATTTTATGTTAAGAGCTGTATTCTCGTATAGGTCGGAATATTTTGACATCGTTTTAGCAATTGACATTGTTGCTTTCATTTAATTTTTCTCAAAAAAAGAAGCACTAAGTCTGATATCACACGAATTATATTTTGTGTCGCATAATAAAATGATCAAATTACAGCGAGATAATAAAAATTAATGTAAGTAATGTCAGTAATTTCAGAAAGAGATTTTAATCACAGTAGATTAACGAGGTCAGTAACATTCGTGCCTATTGATCCACATCTGCGACATTAATCTGTCTTGGTGTAATCGCGCATGTCGATAAGTTAACTCGTCACGGATCGAACTGATGCATTTAGGTGGAAGGACGTCATTTCATCAAGTTGCACCTGAGCGACGTACAACACGCGTCAATCCGTGACGACTATCTATCACTTGGTAAATGTGTGTGTCAAGAAATATGGAATAGAAGACTGGAGATGTTATATATCGGTAGAGGTGAGAAAAGCGTCCCGGGAAGACGAAAATTCCTGGATTCGAATGAATTATTGAAATGTATCCGGGGACGTTTTTCCGCGATAAAGCGATCATGCGACTCGAGAGCGTTACAAGCATCGACAGGACATCAATATAGCCGATCTGTCGTCAAATGCTCCGAATAACATTGGCGCAGCCAAGGAGATGGGGCGATGGGGGTCAATAAGGGCCATGCAAAAGCGAACACCGAGGACCTACCAGATGTAATCAGATCAAATGCCAGAAATGTCTCGGGCACTATTGCGCAATCTGTTAGCGGTATAAAAGAGAAACGCATGCAGTTTCGCTCACGGTGTTCTCGTGTTCTCCAGTTCGCCTGCAATTCATTCCTGCGCCGGCGTGCGAAGTCCTGTACGCCCTGTTTCCTATTTCAGAAGGGAGTAAAAGGGAGTGCTTTCGCAAATACACATTTCTTTTCCTTTCCTTTTTTTTTCTTTTAAATACTTTCTTCCTTCCTCCTTGTTTCCCTACCGATCGCCAATTTTCGTCTATCCTCCACGCTCGGTGCAGTGCAGTTTCACTACAAATGTTTTTTAACATGAAAAAACATCCCGTTGGCCCTTCTCCTTTTTTTTTTATCTAACTTCTTTTTCCCTGTCGGCTTGCGGTATTAGTTTTCACTTTAAAGTGTGCCAGAGCTCACACTCGTGTGTGTTTCGCTCTTCTCCGCTCTCCTCCGCTTCTAACTCGTCCGATGGTTTTGTTCCGTCGTTAACTTTTTAGCGACTCGGCCGTATTCGCACGCATCTAATATCGGCGGAAAGTTTCTGAAAAATTGAGGAACATACCGCCAAACGAGGATTTACCGGTCACTCTCTTTTCAAGCTTTCGTTCATTCTATTTTTCCTTTTCTTTAATTTTTTTTTTTACGCGCGTTTTCTTTTTTCTCTTTTCTAGTACAATACATCACTCACAAAAGAAATATAGAAATATAGAATATGCTAAACGCGTTTGCGTAGATGCCCGTTTGTACTTCAAGGTACTTATTCCTTCCCATGTAACACGAACGACGAGCTTTCCTTGGGACAGGTATCGTGTGCAATACTACGGCGATTATACAGCATGCACTCGCGATTTTCGCATCTCTCGAGATAAAAGCGATTGTATCCGTATGTATGAAAAATATATCTTGTGCGCATAAAATGACGTTATGGAGATTCGTCTCTCGAGTGTCGTCAGAAGATTTCGAACGAGAAATCGAGTTGTTCTTTCAAAATATATGCATCTTGCACAAAAATTCTATGACTGAAGAAATTGCCATTGGCGGGGAGACTTTTTCACACTCGATTTGATTAAAGTGGAGGATAGAAATTACTAATAAATCATCGCAATGTTCTTGCGGTAACATCTTCGTGAAGACCTAAATCACCTTTCTAAGTCAACTGCTTGAATAAATTGTATGAAACGAAATAAATATATGCGATCATTAGAGAACTGATATATATAAATTTTTTGCAACCCATTAAAATTTTTTTAAAATAATATTA